CGGGGCGGGCGGAGTAGGGCGGAGCGAGTGAGGAGGAAGTACGTCACGGAGCGATCGGGATGCGGAGCCACAGTCGCGGGCGTCCCCCGGACGCGCCAGTAAAAGGGGGATTTTGTGGCGATAAAAATAAAGAGAGAGAAAAGAAACGCAGAGAGAAACAAAGAGGGCAGTACAAAAAAGAGCGCGAAAAATGTTAATAAATAAAAATACAGGACTGATGTGAGAGAGATAGAGAGAGAGAATCGGGGAGTTAACAGAGAGAGACAGGGTGTAGGACGGGGAGACGGAAAGGGTTGACCTTCTCCACACGGGGCGGGGCGGGGGACCGGGGCCCTTGGGCGAGGTGCGCTGCGCGGTCAGCAGGGTGGAACGATGACCCGACTGCGAAATTGGAGAAACTCGGCGCGGCGGCGCTCCTCGGCGGGGCCGGTCAATCGATGAGAGAGATGGCGAGGTAATAGCGCGGAAAGAGTTTTGTGATTGAAAGTCGCCCGGGTTATTATACCGCGGCGGCACGGCTAGAAGAAAAGGGCGGGAGATTTTTAAAAAATGAACATTTTTTTTTTTTGCTTTTATTTACGCCGGCTGCACCTGTTTAATTAAATTGAATTTGAAAAAGGCCAAGATATTTTATTTTTATTGGAGGAGGGGGGGGGATTATAGCACATAATCCATTCAGACAAAAATGTTAGCTGCAGGCGATTATGAACCAGTTTATTTGCACCTTTAAAGTCCTTGGTGTGCCTGTGAGTTGCAAGGGCCGTGAAAAGAGGTACGCACGTATTTAATGATGTAATTTACGTACTTTCCCTTGACTGCAGTCAAGTCTGTTAAAAGGGTGCTGAAGGTCGGTTTGAGGGGGGGGGGGGCATATGGCAAAGGAAGACTCTGCGTGTCGGGGCCCCACGACGCGGGTTATGACTTTCTGGAAGGAGAGGAGCGTTTCTGAGGTCTTCCCTCGTGGATACGGCTACGGCCCGACAACCACGACTGTCGGATATATATATACGTATAAATAAAAAAAATATCGCCGACAGGCGAAGATAAATGGTGCGTCGGTTGTTTGCTCCGAAAATCCCCCCAAACCTCCCCGGACCCCTCTTCGCCCGGGGAGTGAGGGGTGGGGGGGTGGGGTGGGGGCAGGAAGGAGATCGGAGGGCGCGCAGTGGGGCACGCAGACGGGATAATGTGCGAGTCGGCAAGGCGTAGGCAAACAAGTTTCCCTGTCAATTTATGTTGGCATGATGAGGGACGGTGGCGGAGCGGTAGGGTAGGGAAGGAGGGTGGAAGTAGGGGGCGGTGCTGAAACTACCCTTGTAGCCTTTCGCCAGCTGCCAGCTGCACCCCGGAAATACTTTCCCTTTTCCAAAACTTTTGACTCGATTTAGACTGTCCAACGTCATGACAATTTTTTTTTAAGGCCCCCGCCAACTCCCCCCGAAGGAGAGAGAACACGAAGGTCTATTGATTTGATTGAATAGGACAAACAAAAGAGTTCAGTCGATTGCAGTCGATGCCGGGGCTGTTCTCAGAGTAGTAGTTCCTGCTCTCCGAGGGACTCGTTCAGGACCTCCATAGGAAGGCTGAAGGATTGTGCAGAAAGTACATTTACCGCCTTTCGCTGGATTCATTCAGCAAATTACGGAGGCTCGGCGCCTGCGAGACTCGGTGTAGGCCAACCCGCGCTACGAGCATGTACAGTAGAGAAGATGTGGCCTACCTACCAGGCGCTATCAGAGCTTAAATTGCATCGGTAGGATTTGGCAGTTTCGTAACGGTGAATAACGGATGCCCTTCCTGGATAGTCCATAAGAAGTCCTGCAAAATTTTCGTCATTTCCCAGGGGTAGGCGAGAGCACTTTTATTTAAAACTACTCCCGTAGTTAAAATTTCACATTATTCTTCGAGGGGCAACATTATCATCGCACTAAAAAAAATCAACTGGTATTATCAACTGTGAACTCTGTGAGCTATTATAAAAGCACATTCCCTTGATGGTGAACATAATTTGTCCCCGAAAAGCGGAGCGTAAGGCAAGAGCCAGGACGGGACGGGAGACGAGATGAGTTCATCACCTTTTAGCCGG